TATCACGATATTCAAAAGTAAGACTATTGTTATCTATTATTTTTGGTTGTGTGATACTGTGATAACTGATAGTGTGATAAATTAAAATCTGCAAATTTTGTAATAACGAATTTACGAATATAATAAAATAAAAATAAAATTCTAATTTGTCAATTTAATTCATATTTGATATTACACATTCAACTTTTGCCGTCTTTTCTATTAAGAAAAACAAGTGCAGCAGTATCTCAATCATCATCAAAAATTGATGTGGTGAGTTAAGTAATACTTATTTCTATTATTTGTTCAACAAATAATATAGTCCTCCATACAGGAAAGTAACATGAAATTATGTTAAGTATGTCGATTATTATATTTTAGATTAACACTGATAAAGACAAACACAAACGTTCCGTGGAAGATGGTGAAGATGTTACCACTAAAATTGCTAAAACTGTAAGTAATTACTACTTAATTACATTTAGTTTAAAAAATGACCTATTTGCTTAACAGTTGGCAAAAACTACACGATCGTTATATCATATTATATTATATTAGCTGAATTAATGATTTTATTAGTGCAATTAAAAACTTGTATAGCTATGATACAATACCATTGATACTATATGGGACTAAAAAATGTTTTTTTTAACAGAGTAACAACCTAAACTTGAAAAATTCTGAATACATCCATGACACTGATATTACTGATTCTATGGATATTGGATTACTAATTCAGCAGTTAGAAAAGGTTTGCATGAAAAATTATTTAAATATGTTTTGATGTGGTTCTTAATTATTTTATGTTTATAATTTATGTATGTATAATATATGCATTTATGTTTAGATTTTAGATTCTGTGTGGAACAGAAAACCAGTTGGTTTTTTACATTATGTTATTATGATTGTTGTAACTATAACTATAATTATTATCTATTTGTATTATTGTTATTTGTGTTTGTGACCTGTGTTAATTGCCAATAGGTAATAATAATAATATAGAATATATACAATAAATAAAATATAAATTTACATCAATAGACAATAGTAAGTACTGGGGTAAATATAAATTTATAACTTTAAACTTATATTATGTATGAAATTAATTTGTTAAAAAAGATTTCTACAATTAGTTGTAGACTGCTTTTGGTATAAATAAATAATAACATTTATAATGTAGCTAAATAATTGCATTTAAGCTTTGGATTTGATTTGATTTTAGTAATATTTAGTTTAATTGATTTGCTTTATTTTTACAACTTTTGTTTTAAGTAGTTAATTGAGTTCAAATTAATATTTCAATTACATTCCAATTTATTGTAGATTGACTCAAATAAACGAGCTGAACTTTTTTTAACAATTTGTGAACCAGATCATACTTTTAAATTTCCTATAAGTGGAAATCGAAAATTAAAATTTCAACTTAGCTGGTTAAGAAAATGGTCTTGGTTAACATATTCAAAATTACATGATGGTGCATTTTGCAAGTTTTGTGTTCTTTAAAAAAAAAACGAAGGTGGTCGTGGTAATCAAAAGTTAGGCAAACTTGTTTTAGAAAAATTTTCTAATTGGAAAAAAGCAATTGAGGAGTTCAACAAACATGAAGGTACAAAATATCATCAAAATTCAATTTTAGATGCTGATAATTTATTATCCGTTTACAATAAAAGTAAGGAATCTATCGATGTCCAGTTAAATAATAAGTTAAAAATTGAAATACAAGAAAACCGTAAAAAATAATTTTTTTGTGGACGTCAAGGTCTGGCTTTGAGAGGCCATAATAATTCAGAACCCATAAGTTTACAAAATTCTCAAATTTAGAATGATGGTAATTTTAGAGAACTGTTAAGATTTAAAGTTGAAGCGGGCGATAAAAATTTAGCCAATCATTTAGAGACAGCTCCACATAATGCGACATACCTTAGTTCAGAAATTCAAAATGAAGTAATTAATGCATGTTCTAGTATGATCATTGAACAACTTGTTTCTAAGATTAATAGTGCAAAATGTTTCACGGTATTGGCTGATGAAACAACAGATATTTCTGGAATTGAACAGTTCTCGTTATGTGTTAGATATTTGGATATATTCAAAAAAGAGATGAGAGAAGATTTTTTAAAATTCGTTCCTGTTCATGATGTTACCGAAAAAGGATTAGCAACTACTCTAATGGATAGCTTAAAAGAATTAGGACTTGAGTTGAAGTATCTACGTGGTCAGGGATATGATGGTGCCGCCGCTATAAGTGGACACTTTAATGGAGTTCAAGCTCATGTAACCAAAAACTACCCTCTTGCTCATTATATTCATTGTAGTTCAAATAGTTTAAATTTGGCGATTTCGGATGCTTGTAATATTCAATCCATTAGAAACTGCACAGGAACAATTCAGAAAGTTTGTGTCTTCTTTAAATAACCTAAAAGAAATAATGTCTTAACAGAATCAATATCATATATATGTCCTTCTTCAAATGTTAAACGTTTAAAGTAACTTTGTCCTACTAGATGGGTGCACCGTCATGACTCTATACTTGTTTTTCTAGAATTATTTGATGCTATTATTGACGGCTAAACAAAAGTATGTTCTTGATTTGATAAGGATTCTTCGTCGGGAGTATATCAATTATTATGCTCTATAAAACAGCCAGAATTTATACTAGCAACATTTGTGTTGGCGAAAGTATTTGGTATAAGCTTGCCACTAAGTAAACATCTCCAAACTAAAAATATAGATCTGATTGTTGCTATTAAGAATGCGGAGAGTGTTAGATGTATTATTGAAATTATAAGAAAAAACGCAGAAAGTGAATTTAAATGTATATTTGATGAAGTTAAAACTAAATGTGATGCATTAAATATTGAAATTTCTTTGCCTCGTAGGATAAATGTTCAAAAAAATCGTTGCAATGTACAAGAGAATTCTCCTGAAGATTACTTTAGGATTTCTCTATTTATTCCATTTATTGATAGTTTTATAAATGAACTAATTAAATAATTTTTATCTTATAAAACTATGCTTAAAAATTTTACATGTGTTCTACCTTCCTCAAATGGCAAGTTTGATGAAAATAATATAAAACAACTTAGACCAAGATAATTTAACCAAGATGATTTGGATTGCGGTAAATTAGAGAGGAATAAAAACATGGCAACAAAAATTTTTACAGACACAAGTTTTTCCCAAAAATGCCCTTGACGCTCTTCAAGAATGTAATGAAACGATTTTCCATAAACTTTTAAATTGTTTCAAATCTTAGCAACCTTTCCAGTTACTACTGCCAGTAGTAAAAGGTCTTTTTCTAGTTTGAAACGTCTGAAGACTTATTTGCTGAACACGACTTCCGAAGGTAGATTAAACGGTTTGGCACTTTTGAATATTTGTAGAGAAATAATATTACAGCCGGAAGACGTTTTGAATAAATTATCCATAAAAACAAGAAGAATACATTTGATGTAGATAAATAGTAAATATTATACCTAGTTATGTTCATAATATTATTAGGATTTGATAGTGCTTATAATATATTATAATTATAAAATATTGTACATTCACATTTCACAAGTTCACAACTGAACTTTGTTTTTGAATAGTTCAATTGGGCAACAAATAGAACGAAAACTGTAAAAAACTAAGTTTAATTTTTACTTAACCCCCCCCCCCTTGAAAAATCCTGGCTACGCCATTGCGCATTTTATCATTTGCTTAGGACTATAACAAAGATGTGCAGTGCACAACAAGCATAGCAAAAAGTCAAATGCTTAATTTCAAAATGTTACTTACTACAGTGCCACACTTACTGTTGTATTTAGTAACATATTTTATGTTCAATCCAATTTGTATCTACATGTTTAATATCATTGTATGTCATCTGACTCAGTATGCTGTAGTAATAATTGACACCTGGGATATGAAGAACTAACCTTAGAGGTTAATAGTTTAGACTTATTGCCTATGGAATATTATATCATCATTGGTAATAAACACACTATATATATATATAACACACTTTTATAGGAATTATTCACACATTTCATAAACACAAAATGTACACTATTCACTCAATGCTTCGGACCGTCATCGTCATTATTACTCAAAGATGATTCATTGACTTAATCATAAATATTTTTAACTCAGAATTTGGGACTTTTACACATACCTTTCTTAAAATATGTACTCATTACACACGACTCCATGACCCTGACTCTCAGTCAGTCGTTTAGTAATTTAGTAGTAGTGTTTATAAAATAAAATAAAAATTTATTCTGTTGTTTTTTTTTTATTATTATTATTAGGTCTACATTGGTGTTTTGAAGATTGACATTCTGTTATTGGGATATTGTAATATAGGGAAAGATTACTGATTTTATTGCTAATTCGAATAAATCTTTTTTTTAGTATTTCGGAAAGTTTTTGTAAATCTGAGTGTATGGTGTCTATTGTTATAAGTATTGAAGGTATTTTTCCAATTTGGCAATGTAACTGCGTGCTTACAACTCTTCCGTAATTCATAATTTTTATGATCATTGTTGTGAATGAAAAAATAATTTCCTGTATCCCTTATATTTTTTGTCAGTTTTTGGTGTTTTCTAACCACTCATTCCTTTTGTCTTCGTTGAGGAATCTATTAAAAATGTTTTTTTTTAAAATTTCGAGTTTTTTACTTGTCGCAGTTGTGCAATTATTTAATTGCGATGTTATTTCATTTAGGTGATCTTTATGATCTTATACAAAAACGTCCTTTAGTTTGTCTGTTTGCTGTTTTAATTTATAATCGTTTAGGCAGAATTTTTTATTTGTTTTTCTGTTGATATATCACACCAAAAATTATAGAAATCTCCAATTATCTGTATTCCTCTTTTGTTTTTATTTTTTATTTTTTTTTAATATTTCCTACTTTTTCTCCTGTTTGTTCTATATTTTTTTTATTTTCGTTAATATTCGTGTTAAGTGTTTTTAGTAATATTAATGATTGTTGTATAATGTAGCAATAGTTGTTTTTTGTGTTCTCAATAGTTTTAAATTTCCATTAAGTTGTCTATGTAATTTTGTTCCTCTGTATTATTTTTTATGTGTAAATAAGTGGTATACTTTTTTCATATTCAATTACTTCTGGTACTTCGTTAAAAAATGCTCCTGAGGATACTGTTATGTTTAGTTTTTCCTCTGCCATTATTCTGCCACATGTTAGTAACAATATCATGAATTGATACATATTTCTAAAACAAACTATAAAATAATGCATATTGATTAGTAATAATTTATTATTTACCTATCGGTGAAAGGTTTCATTCTTTGTACGTGTATGATATCAGTAGTTGATTTCCCATTTAATACTAATTCTACTTCATAATTTACCTCAAATATTTTTTTATTATTTTAAAAGGGCCTCTATACTTTTATGCTAATTTTTTTGATTTGTTTGCTTCTTGAAATTGAAATTGTATTAATACTTTTTGACCGGGTAGGAAATTAACAGTCTTATGAGTTTTATCGTAAATTAATGTTTGTGTCTGTTGTTCTTTTCTTATTATATTTGGTATATCCTTCCTGATTTCTTGTAATGTTTCTAGGGATTTTATTAGATTAAAATTGTCATTGTTTGGTATAATTTTATTGTCTAATGTTTGATTAGCCTCTATACCGTGCAATAGAAAGAAAGGGCTAACTTTTAACCTTGAGCTCGGGCATATATTATATGCGAATACCACTAATTTATTGTATAAGACCCAGTCTTTTTTATTTTTGTTTACATAGTGTGTTAAACTATTACATATTAACTTGTTCATTAATTCAGTCATCCCATTTGTTTGGGAGTGGTATGCACTAGAAAATATTTGTGTAATTACTAAGTTTTTGCACACTTCCTCTACTTCTTTGTTTTTAAAATGTGTTCCCCTATCACTGCAAAAATATTTCGGAACTCCATATGTTATTAAATCCATTAGAAAGTTTTTTGTTTCCGCTCCTGTTGGATTTGCTACAAAGGCCATCTTAGTTGCGTTACATGTTGCCACAATTAAGTATTTTTTCCTGTGAGAAGGAGGAAGTGGTCCCAAATAATCGAAGGTCAATCTTGGTAATGGTTTTCCTGATTCTATTGGTAATGGTCGCAGTAATCCTGATGCTTTACCTATCGGTGTTTTTAATAATTGACAAGAAACACAGGAGTTAATAAAAAATGTGGTGTCTTTGATCATCGTGTCCCAATGGTATTTTTGTTTTAATTTTGCGATTGTCTTGGTTATGCCGAAATGTCCACTAAATATTGATTCATGATATGATTTTAATACAATATTGACTAAGCTTTTTGGAATGACTAATAAGTCGAGCCTTTTCACAACAGCGAGGACGGGAAAGAACTATCGAAGGAGTGAGTATGGTGCAGGCTAGTTATGGGGAGGGGGTCTCTGTGGCTGATTCAATTTGGTGCAATGACCACAGAGCTCACAACAATAGGGTTAATCATTAAACAATTACCTTAACCCTATTGAAGTCTTGAGATGATCCACTGACTGATGCTGTTGGCATACGTCGACTTGGACGACCTGGGGCGGCCTCTCACACACCGCAAGTACGGTGCTGGCGAACTTATGGGGCAACTACTGATGGCACCGATGTGGTCGCAGTATCAACATGACGTCCACCTGATGACATAGGGCGGCCTCTCACACAACGTACATATCTACGTTGCTGGCGGACATACGCGTGGAATCTGACGGCACCAACGTTGACAACAACGACCTGCCAAGGTTGACGAAGAGAATAATAATAAAGAAAAGACTTACGATTTAGTTGGAGATCGTGTCTTTATTTAGCATCTCAGTTCTTTTATGGCGACACACAATATACTAATAACAATAATAATAATAATCGGCAACTGTGTGCACCATAAAATATAAATTAAAGAAATACTTTTTTGTTTTACTCGCTTTAATAGCGGACCACACATAAAATTCACGGACCGCTATATTAGCAGATCACAAGGTATAATATTTATAATAACATTACTATAGATCGCTGTAATAGCGGACCAAAAAACATGAATAATAATTTTAAAAAAATGAGTGACAATATAATAATAATAATGTAGGGCGTTGGCCGCTGAATGTAAACAAAACATAGTTCTTATCTAATATTGATAATATTATAGTACTATCTGAGGCAAAAGGCCGACAGATAATTTATAAGGCAAACACAAAGAGAATATACTGTAGGATTTATATTTTATATTAATTTATATTTTTGTGTAATTACGGGTTTTCTGGTGATCGGCGTTCTCGATCAATATGAATTGACCGTTACCCGTATCTAGACCGGTCGAGCGATATTTACTATTTATGTATTATTAATTAATTGTATTGTGTGTGTGTGTGTGTTTGTGTGTACGCCGATCGGCCAGACGACCTGCGTACAGATATTATATATTCAGTCATTTCTTGAGATACTCGTCGCAATGACCGTTTCTCTCTCAATAAAAAAAATAAAGTAATAAAGGAAAACATTTTTTTTTAATAGTCTACGTTTTATACGGACTCCTCTTACAATACATATAAACAAATTTAACAATAATACAATTATAATAATCGTTTTACTTTAATAACGGCATAAAAAGTGAGGATGAGTGGTCGGAAGAGGAGGGAAGATGTCGCCGTCGCGCAGAGTAGCGTCCTGCGATAAGCATTAATTACTTGGCTCGAACAATTACTCTATGGTGCAAACGACCTTACCCGATAAGTAATGTGTCGACAAGCATGTATACTACATGTTACAATTATAATTATATATTGTTACGTTGTTGTGTAGTTGCGTTAATACAATTTAAAATTTAATGTTGATTTTTAAAAGTTCTTCACTAACGTAAGTATAATATATTAATATAATACAGTAAACTGTACACAAAATAATATTATATTATAATATTATTAAATAAATTATAATATATGTAATATGTTAAGGGATTGGTGGAGGTTAGTTTTTTCAATCATAATATACCAATGATTACATGAAAAAAGCCTAAAAAACATTGGAAACTGAAAATTTCCGTAGACAGCTCAAAACAAAACAATTTGTTCGAACACGGAACGGTCGTCGCGCCGCGCAAGCGTAAAACCGGTTCGTCCCACCGCCCTGCCGGCGCCGAAGCTCGAGAGCATCCCCTACCCCTACCTAGCGCCGCTGGCCGCCGCCGTTTTGCGAATACGGTCGAGCTTGGAGTCTGTCTTGTTGTCTTTTGTGTGCGGTCGAGTTGGACGCAACTCGTCGTCGTCCCTAACCACCCCGAGCCTGTGTTGTTTTTTATTTGGCTCACTGTGTCATTGTCATACACCCCGTGCGGCGTTCCGGCCATCGACGATTGTCATTGAGAGTGATCCAGACCGGCCCTGTTCCTGCCATTACGATAGAGATTCCGAAGGAGGAGGATAGTGGTGATGCAGTCCCGCGGCATGTTATTTCAAACCAGGTCATCTTTGTATAAATGTAATTTTGTAACCTTTAAACTGGCGCGATCATTGTAAATCGTACAGCCGCTATTGTCATATTAGTATTTTAATCTTGGGCGCCCGTTTTAGTTAATCATATAATAAACGTGTTTATAAAGCCTTACGCTAAAAATGTAATCATTTGGGGTAACCGTACGTCCTATACGCCGCAAGTCGATGTAGCCTACCGCCAAGTTGTAGGAGCTAAATCGGCGTAGAACACAATTTGAATATTTTATTGTGTATAGCAAATACTAATATAAATGTTCAGAGAAAATGTGATGTATGTCACTTGTTTTAGAGTAAGAGTTTTAGAGTTACAACCAAAATCAATTTTGACCAAAACCCAATAATGTGTAAAAAACTCAGTTTTTTCTTAAATTTTTTTGTTTTTTTCAGGCGGCTTTTGAAAACTTCTGATCTAACTGTTTGACCTCTCCAATGCACCAACCAAATTCACTTTCTATAAAACAAGATGCTGAAGTTGAAAATTAAAACATTATTTCGACTACTTATCTTGTACACAGACACAAATAAAAAAACCTCATATCATATTGTAAAATTAAAAATAGCCAATTTGTATATCTTATTTTAGAAAAATATTGACTGTAAAAACATATTTTATTTAAACCCGTTCATTTTTACAAATTTTTTTAAATCTCATCATTTTTGTTAAATAAAGTTGATCCAGTTGTAAATTTTATAAGAGGTTATTTTACTCAATTTTTATTTAAGAAATTATTATGATTATAATTATTATTGTTAACGTGAAATTTGCTATGGTGCTTGATGGTCAGAGAGAAAACAAATAGTGCGTGGACATCATCTTAAAAATAAAAATAATTAATGTGAAAATGAATACCTTTGTGTGATATGTTCTCGGAAACTACCAAACCGATCGTTATGATGTTTTTTTTAAATTGAAAAGCTCATTGCGGAGAAGATTTATGACATTTGATCGATTCTCTAACTTTAAAAACAAAGGAGTTATCAATTATCATAAATAATGACTTGTTATGTAGACTTAATGGCTGAGGTTCGCGGTACGGCAACGGACGGCGGCTAGACGTGGCCGTCCAAACTTCCCCTTCCATATCAGTATAGCACCGTTGCGTGACGTTATAGTTCAAATCGTTATTCGTTGCTAATGGAAAACTTAGATTATATCAGTGCCGTGGCGAAGTATATTTTTTGGGGCAACCGCCCCTAGTACAACCCAGGGGTGGATGGGTGCTTATGTTAGTGGGTGATATCTAAGGGTAAATAATAAATTAATTTACCTTTATGACATTTGTCATTCAACTGCAGTATACTATTCTAGAATTCTTATTTACTATTATTATTATTATTATTATTATTATTATAATTATTTAGAATTGGTTAANGGGGGTATACAAATCTGTAAGACGTGGGTGGGTACCAAAAAAATGTATTCGCCCCTACTATAAAATCTTGTCGCCACGCCACTGGATTATATACTATGGATGGACCCACCGCGTATTAAATCAATACAAAAAAGATGTCGCCGATATAATTATGTGTTCGATATACGCATCCGCAACGCAATTTATCGCATATTTTTCCATAGATGATTTGTTATCAATTCACCGCATTATGATTCTGTCGGCTTCGAAGAACGGACCGACCGACATTTTAAGTGAAGCTTCGTAAAAGTCGGAACGCTGCTTAAAGTTTGTGTATCGATGTATTGTCGAATATTCAAGATGCCTGCATTTAAATAGTAAACAGTACTATTTATAAGTTAATTTAAATTTAATTTAATTTCTATAATTTTTAAATTTTTATTCGTTTCTTTTAATTATTAAAATTTATCACAATGAAAAGGAAAATTAATTTAGGTCGTTCATCAAATATAATAAAACGCCAACGTTTACTCAGATTAAGTCAAAATATTAATGGCTCGCCAGATAACTGCAATATTAACAGCGATAATAATGATGATAATTTAAATAATATATCTATTACCAATAGTGTTGGTAGTATTAATAAAACAATATTAATAACAACTTTACATTTAATGATAGTAATTTAGTTAATATTATTAACAATATTCACGATTTTCCTATTGACGAAAATTTAGTTGAACCTCGACGTGTTCCATGGCGTCGCCGTGAAATGTCGGCATTTACTAATGACAAATTAATAGATTATAGAAATGATTCTCATGTTATCATAGGAAATATGAATTTAAAATGTAATTATTGTCGTGCATTGAAATGGTCCAAAGAGCCTGCAGGTTTTTGCTGTTCAGGAGGAAGACATTACTGATCCACCTGAACCATTAAAAAGTCTCTTAAATTTTTCCAGAGTCTGGGGTTTACTACACATTTTTCTGGTAGTTATCTCTCAGAATTTTCCATTTTTTTTGGTAGATCGATAATTATTTGAAAGTACTTTAATTTAATTGCTTACTAAGGATATTAATTACTAGGGAACGGATTTAAATGCTCTAAAAAACAAGAAAAATGCCTTAAAAAATACGATTTAATGCCTTAAAAATCTTTAAAAATGGGTTTATATTCAATAAAAACAAAATTTTGAATTTAAAACTTATAAAAAACACATTATTATGATAAATCTAATAAAAAATATTTTAATACAATATAACCTTAATTAATTAACTTTCAATTATCTTCTGTTCATCTTCTTTTTACCCTAAAAAATAAAAAATGTAATAGGTATACCATTTAGATAGGTATATTTGTTATACTTTTACCTTTTGTTTCATAGCATTGTATAGTCAGGTGCTGCTTAATATTGTCAAACAGAAATCTTCCACGGTTATCGGCCAGTATTGTTTTGTATCTCGAGAAACTTCGTTCCACGTCAACTGACGTCATAGGTGCAGACTTCATATGAGCCATATCATCAGCAGTTAGTTCTTCAGATATTGTACTATTTCGAGATGTTGCTTTTCCTTCCAAAATATTTGAAATATGTTTCATTGTTTTAAATCCCGTATTTTTTTCAATTACAACTTCTAGTTTTTTTAATAGCTTTTCCGATACTACTGTTGTCTGTTCCGATTTCATTTTGTACTTGAGCAATAATATTAATTGCGTCAGCTAACGATAATCCAGATGTTTCCAATGTAGTTATGTTATTTTGCTAAATTTCCATAAATTGCTTTGATAAATGTCAAGTTTAGTTCTAAATTATTATCATTTAAAAGTTTTTGTACATTTTCAATTGCTACGGCATCTTCTTTATCAAACCCCATCACAACAGATTTAATCAATTGATAATTTTCACAAAAGTATATGACTGCCGATAACCATGTACCCCACCTAGTTAGTATTGGTTGAGGGGGCATTGGTATCCCTGGCGCCATTTCTTTGAATTTGAATACACGAGATGGGCATTTCAAAAAAAATTTTTTTACGTTCGAAACAAAAGCATCAATTTCGGGAAATTGTTTGCGTATTTCTTCAGCTACTCTGTGTAGAGAATGTGCCAAACATGTAACGTGTTCCATTTTTGAGTAAAATGCTTTAATATTTTTTCCTGCCTTCACCATATAAGGTGCTGCATCACTGAGAAATAGGAGTACATTATCGTGTTTAATACCCTTTGACCCCAACAAGCTTATAGATTGATCAAATAATTTAGCTATAGTACCATTATTTGCTTTTTTTAAGACTTCGCAATTAAATAAAAAAGTTTCACCGGGACATCCAATTTCTAAAGTGCCGGTTATGACATTAGCGACATATCGGTCATCTACGTCTGTAGTCTCATCTATTGTCACCCACAATTTTTTATTCTCCACGTAAGTTCTAATAGAATTTATTGTATTATTGTAAATATTGCTTACATAGTTCTTTCGAATTGTGGATTCGTCTGGAATGTGTTAGCTGGTATACTTTGAAAGAAAATTGCGGAAATTTTCATTGTTCAGTTTAGAAAGAGGAATGTTAGCAGATACCATTGCAGTACAAAGATCTGTAGTAAATGCATTATTTTCTGGAACGGTATTAATTAATGTTTGAACAACTTCACTTTTTTTATTTTTTTGAATATCTAGTGCACGTAAATGTTTTTCTCTACCCACATGCTGTGTCACAGTAAATTTTTTTTCGGCTGCCACTCTAACCTCACAAATCTTACAAAAAAGAACGCTTCCATCTGTAGAAAAAATTGATTCCCCATATTGTTGAAAGTATGACCGCAAACGACAAACATCTGAAGATTTGGCCTTAGGCATTTTCAAGAACTTCGTGGAATAAACAAAACTAAACTAAATACATCTACGAAAATCACTCGAAAACGTTAACGACGAGGCTATACGCGATACTAAACGATAAAGTAATGACTCAATTCAACAGTGCAATACAAAACTACAATTTAGATAAATAGTTGATCGTATTTTATCTTTACCTTAATGTGGGTAATAATCTGTTGTAACTTGTATGTATGCATTTTGTGTCTACACGTGTCAACAATAATTTCGTAAATTCGTAACATGATAAATGTTTCGTTTTTTAGAATGAATGTTGAAAATATGTTGAAAAATGACTTAAAAACCATAAAAAAATGCACTAAAAATGTCAAAAAATGCTCTAAAAATGTAATAGTCTTAAAAATGCAAAAAAAATGCAAAATAAAAGTTACATTTTTTAATTCCTTGCTGTATGAAATGAATTTTTTGTTTGGAAACCAATGTTTTCGGACATTCAGAAAAAAAATGCAATTTGCATTCAAATCAGTTCCCTATTAATTACTTATTTTTCATTTATAACTACATTGGAAAGTACTTCTTATAAATAAATACAATTTCTTACTTTTAGCATTTTTTTTCTCTATCATTAAGACTCTCAAGACCTTCGATGCAAATCTTAGCTACTTTGGTCCAGCTACTTTATCATTATATTTAATATTATGTATTATAAATAATTTGTACTAATATGACATGATCAAGGGCCCGGGAGGTGATTGCCTCTACGCCTCCCTGGCCAGTCCGACACTGCACTTAGTATATAGTATTTTTTCCAATTATGTAAGACCAACTTGAAAAACATTCAATCTTCTTATACCTGTGTATATAAAGCCACAATCAGACAATTCATAAACGTTTTGAAACATGGTGATGAAACTTAATATATTGTAGATATGCTGGATATGGTTTGCTTTGTATTGGTGAAACTTATGAAGAATAATCATCGCTAGGTTTTTACAAGTTCACGTTTTTAGTTTTAAATTGAAAATAAAAATTATTACTTAAAAATATTGAAGTGAAATAATACAGTAAAATAATAGCATACTTTGTTTCGTGGTCAAACAAGTCAGGCTCTTCTTTACCACCACCTCAACCTCTGCAGTGGGTACCCTAACTTTGTTAATAAAACAATGACAGACTTTTAGTATGAAGTTTCGGAAGTACAAAAAAAAAGGCTTTTGTACCCAACCATCTCTGTTCCCCGCCCAGCATATTATATTAGTGTCTGGTAAGGTGGTAATGTCGATCTAGTTGAGCTTTTTGTGACCCCATATGGTAGGATCGTTGACGGGTCACTACGTTGTTCTTACATCGTACCTCACTAAGCTGATTCACACAAGTTTCAACAGCACAAACTAGGAAATTCTGAAATTTTTTCTAGTTTTATCTCATACGACCACGATTTATCAACACTTTTTACATAAAAAAAAGTTTACTAACTAAACCAATAATATTTTAGTATTTTATATTCATAATTTTAGGTATTGACTTATAATGTTCCTTGTAGACGGATGAAGGCTTAGGTGTTATCCATAAACTTTGTCTTCTAAACATTGGGTATTCTACCAATATGACCTTACCACATGTGTGTCGTTTTGATGATTTATGAATTTCCATAGATTTTTTTGGTGGGGTTTCATCCTCCATATCTTGAACAATTGGTATTTCAATTACAATCTCTTGAAGAGGTTCGACTTTAAATGGCTGGCAGTTTTTGGTTTTAACATCTTGATACATAGGTCTTGAATTTACTGGGCAATGTTGGATCTCCATGGAATCTTGACATGTCGGTTCTTTAATTAGTAGAGAATAAACCAAATTGATATATTTTCGACAATTTTTTGCTATTGAAAAGTTGGTTATCATACTCAAAAGTGTAATAGATTTATTATTTATTTCTTTATTAATGTCATCATTGTTAAGAAACATAGTAAAAAGAATATATTTTTTTCACTAAATGATGTACACAGCATCTGATTTAATTCAATTTGTTTCTATGTGCCTGTAATTTAGTATATGATATTAATAGCCAACATTAAATAAATAACCGTATACCATGTATTAAAATGTCATACATTTATTTATTCAATCAAACAGACCTAGGCCTATAACATAACTATAACAAAATTAGAAGCTAAGATACATACAACGATTGTAAGGTTACAGATGAAAATGAAAATAATCTTTTAGGTAAATTACAACAAAGAAAGATGTGAAAATAAGAGGTGTTAAACATAATCAAAAGTAATAGAATTATCCGCAGCCATTAAAATATTAGATGGACTGTTAATCATACAGTTGGTTTCATGAGAGGTAGGATTTAATAAATTTATACTTTTAGTGTTATAGAAGTTCGTTTTAATAGGAATAAGGGAAAGGAGCTTTTGACAGCCAATCTCCCCTATAAGTAAATTATGTAAAAATTTAGATAGTAATAATGAGCGTCTATTATCAAGGGGAGAGATTGATAAATCTTAGCACGAATTTGTACGAACCATGGGGATGCCTATAAACGTTTAAGTTAAAGGAGATAAATCGTAGAAAGTTTATCCTGCACTAATTCAATCCCTTCAATTTGTTTTGAAGTATTATTTGTCCGAATTAGAACAAACTAGGGCACAGAATACATTTTTTGGAGATGAAGGAACTCTGAAAGATCCACAAGTTTATTTATTATAGTTATAATGGTAATAGGTTTATATATGAGGTAATTTGAAGATGTTGAATAAGTTGGTAACAGTTATGATTGAAATAATATATTAATGGCCTGATTGGTTAGTTACACAATATATAATACACAGAATATAATAAACTATAATAAACTCAAATTTGAATAATAGGAACTAATAATTAATAAATAATAAATAATCAATAATATGGCTCGTCAGCCGACTACCTGGAGACTGGTGTCCGTTGGTGGCTTTAAACAATCATGCCACCGTCTCGGGATGCACACACTTGCACGATAAAGAATACAATGATATGATATTAAATGTGCGGCAATCCCGAGGACTTACGACCAACGGGCGATCAGCTCAGACGAAAAACTCACAACCACAAGATGATATATTACTGAAATTAATGATGTAGTTATGGCAGGTACAATTCATGATATATGAGAATTGCCACAACATGTAAAAAACACAATTTGAAACACAGGCAGAAAAATGGTATATTTGCTATGAAACGTTAATTTATATGAGACGAGAAAAATGATATGTTCGGTCGACGGCACAATGCAAAGAGAACGAGAAATAGATGTGGTGTGGGCACGGTGCCTTGAAATTGAGAATGAGATGAATTATGTAACAATACCTCAGTGCCACCTACGCAAACGGAGAAAGCTTGATATAATGATACTTTCGATGACACTAAGGAAGAGAACTTGGTACTTTTTTGAAAGATGAGAATGATAGTAACGTTTTTGACAATATGGAAAGTATAACGGACGTAATCAGTAACGCACAGTGTTGCCGCATGGCAAACTTGAAATTCTCCTGAGAATATCAAAAAAGTTTCGAAAATTCTCCAAGTATGGACAGTAATAAAAAAAATAATAATTACTATGGAATTTTTTTTATATAAAATGTTATTAAGATTATTGATGATGAAGTTATACATATAACATTAAACATTATCATTATTTCATATTTGGA